AATGGGAAAACTACAAGGAAAAAAGAGGATGGTAAGAATAGAAAAAAAATCTGGAAGACAGGAAGATGAGAAATAATAGAATAAAGAAGAAACGAAGAACAAAGAAGGATGAAATAGATTTTTTTTTAATCTGAAAAAAAGTATCGTACAGAATACACAAGAAAAAAAGAAAAACAAAAAAAAACTAAACAGTACTTCAAAGAATATGAAAAAAGGAAAAAAAAAAACAAAAGACATCAAAGCAAAAAAAAAAAAAGATAAAAAAAAAACAAGAAGAGGAGAAACCCAGCAACAGCGAGAGGAAGCGAGATCATCGGACCGAACCTGAATGATCGTCTTCAGCATCACAGTCCCTTTCCATCGCCAGCCTGCGGTCGGAGGGAGAGTTCGGTGTAATTAGGAAGTTGCCAAGGAGATGGAGGCCAATTATCGAGGGATGAGGAAGGCACGGGGACGGAGAGTGCCATCCTGCAGTGCCACGGGGGAGAGAGCGGGGCACTGGCGCGGGGCAGAGGGGGGAGGAAGGGCATTGGTGGGGAGAAAAGGGGGGTGGGTGGAGAAAAGGAGGGCATTGGTGGAGAGAAAAAAAAAGGGATGGAGAGAGAGAGAGGGAGGGAGGGAGGGAGAGGAAGAGGGAGAGGGAGAGAGAGAGAGAGAGAGAGAGAGAGGGAGGGAGGGAGAGGGAGAGAGAGAGAGAGACAGACAGACAGACAGACAGACTATAACATAGGAACATCATGCGAGAGAAAAGAGAGAAAGAACTAAAGACAAGGAGAGACTCAAGATGTAAAAGGAGAAAAGGCCTGGACGCGAGGATGCGATAACGAACGAAAGAAAATACATACGGAGAATTGTCCCATCCTTGCCTTGACCTGCAGCGACAGAGGAGAGAAAATTGCTTCCAACAACGAGGGAGTCAACAGATAGAGGGACGAGCTGCCGTTGGGACGAAGGCGACGAAGGGAGAGGAAGGAAGGCGCAACAGGACGAAGGATTTTAGTGTCATTTCGCGGTGCCAAAGAGGAGAGAGAAAGTGCCAAGCGACGAAGAACTGCAACGTAAAGGGATAGGCATCGGGCTGGTTTGGAGGCGTCGACGAAGAGGATAAAGGACGGACGTGATGATTCGGCAGATGAGAGAGGGAAAGGACTGGGGACGCGGATGACAAAGACGACAATTCGCTGATTATCTGAGAAATTGCGGAAGACACGATGCCTGATTACAGCAAAGTTACATTTACGAAAATACAACGAATACAAAAATAGACATTTACATACATCGTGAAATTAAGATAGGTCCTGATTATACATCTAAACCAAACGCAATACAGTAATAAACCTCATGCCTGGAAACAAATGCTGCACCATTCCCGCCTTTCCCGCCGCGAAAAGAAGACGGAGGCGGAAGCGGGAAATTTAAACTTAACGGAAACGACAGACTGAGAGTCACGTGACCAGGTCAAAAGGTCCAATTTAGCGAAGACTTGAAGCGCGAGAACCAGACAAGAATGATTAATCAACTAATGATTAATTAACAACAAAAGAGGGAAGGAAATGAAAGGGAGATATAGAGGTAGAGAGAGAAGAGAAATAGGGAGAGAGAGAATGTGTGTGAGGGAGAGAGAGAGAGAGAAGGGGAGGGAGGGAAAGAGATTGTGTGAGAGAGAGAGAGAGAAAGGTGAAGATAGGGAGAGAGAGAGAGAGAGGGAAGAAGAGAGACTGTATGTGTACAGACAGAGACAGAAAAATAAAAGACGAGGAAAAAAGAACAAAAAACTAACGAAAAATAAACAACAAATGATAAAAGCCAAAGCGAGGGCAAGAACCAGCAAGAGAGCGCGAGAAAGCAAGGTACACAGGGGAGACAGGATAAGGGGAAGGGAAAGGGGGGGGGGAGATCTCCAGGGTAAAATGTGCTCTTTGATAAGGTGAAGAGAACCTGCCGTTCGCTGCGTTATCTCCTCGACGTCGAGGTTGTCGATAAGGTGGGGGGGGGGGGGGGTGACTAGAATTGTGGTGGTGATAGCGATGATGGTGGAGGTGGTGGGGGAGGAGGCGGTGGGGGTGGGGGTGGAGGCGGTGGGGGAGGAGGCGGTGGGGGTGGGGGAGGAGGTGGGAGGCGGGGTGGGGGTGGGGAGGAGGCGGTGGTGGAAGTGACAGTGGAGGTGATTGTGGAGGTGGAGATGAGGACACTGGTGGTTTACAGAGGTTGAAATGGAGGAGGAAGAGCAGGAGATAGAGATACGAGACAGAAAGACAGACAGAGAGAGAAAGAGAGAAAGAGCGAGAGAGAGAGAGAGAAAGAGAGAGCGAGAGCAAGAGAGAGAGCGAGAGAGAGAGAAAGGGGGAGAGAGAGCGAGAGAGAGAGAGAGAGAGAGAGAGAGAGCGAGAGAGAGAGAAAGGGGGAGAGAGAGAGAGAGAGAGGAGAAAGGGAGAGAGAGAGAGAGAGAGAGAGAGAAAGACATGTGGAAACGAAGGTAGAAGCAGGTAGGTGGCGCTGGGAGACACGGCGATGATGTTGGCACTGGGTATTGGTTTTGGCACTGTTGGTAATGATGGAAATGAGTGGAATCGATGGCGGTCGCGTGTGATGGACGCCAAAGGGGGGGGAGGGGGGGAGAAGGGAATAAGAGGGGAGAAGGGAGGAGAGAGAGAGGGTGGGGGAGGGGGAGAGGGAGGGATAGAGGGTGAGGGGAGAAGGGAGGAGAGGGAGAGGGGGGGGGAGGGGGAGAGGGAGGGATAGAGGGAGAGGGGAGAAGGGAGGAAGAGGGAGAGTGGAGGAGGAGAGGGGAGAGTGAGGGGGAGGAGGAGAGGGAGAAGAAAGAGAGGGAAGAGAGAGGTAGAAGAAGAGAGGGAAAGGAAGGGAGGGGAGGCGAGAAGAGAAATAGGGAGTGGGGAGAGAAAAAAGAGGGAAAGAAAAGACAAAGACTCAGAAGAAAAGGGAAAACCCCAAAAGAAAAGCATCGAAATATAAGACAAAAAGCAGAGAGAGAAAACAGGAAGAAGAAGGCGATGAAGAAGAAGAAATGTCAATAATATGGATAAGAATCTCGGAGATAAAGAGGAAATCGGAGAGGCTACTCGCGAACGGAGGAGGGAAAGGGGAAAGAAAAGAAGGGAGAGAGAAGGAGACAAATCACCCACGCAAAAAATAAATACGAAGAGAAAAGAATAAAAGAGAAGATATAAAACTAAATAAAGTGCCATAAAAAAATACAGAAGTACGGAAATAGTAAACAAATTGCTAAATTAATCCCATAACCGAAAACGAAAAGAGAGAGAGAGAGAGAGAGACAGAGACAGAGAGACAGATAGACTGAGAGAGACAGAGAGCGAGAGAGAGAGAGATAGAGAGAGAGAAAGAGAGAGAGAGAGAGAGAGAGAGAGAGAGAGAGCGAGAGAGAGAGCGAGAGAGAGAGAGAGAGAGAGAGAGAGAGAGAGAGAGAGAGTGAGAAAGCGAGAGACCGAGAGGCTGAAACAGAGTCCCAGCCAGAAACCGAGAGAACCCGAGGAAGGCAGGCGACGCCGTCCGCCCCTCCGTCGCAGCCGCCCTTTCCCGCGAGTAGTTAAGCGTCGCCGAATTGATCCCAACGCGACGCGAAGGGCCCGGCGGCTGGTGAAAGGCGGCGGACAATTCCCGCAGAGTTATGGCGGTCATAAATCACTTTTACAGGCTGTCGACGCGAATCCTTTGACCTTCTGTTGCATCACAGGCCGGCGTAGGTCTCTGCTGTTGCAAGTTCTGCTCCTTGGCAATTTTCCTT